TTGTTGTTGTTCGTTTTGGGCGGATTTAAAGAAAAATCACTGTTAGAATAAAATACATTCACACAGAAATCAAAGAGAAAAAAAAGGAAAAAAATCAATTGCACAATACTGAGAAAATTAAAAAATGAATAACGTCGAATATTATGATGTTAAAAGTTGAACAACACATTTCATTACTAGGGATGATCCATTATTGAGATAAAGTCTTTGGGTAAATGGAAGTGAAGGTTGTAGTAGGAATTTATCAAGCGGACATGGGAGAATATCAGCAAGATGAATTGTTGTATAACCAAGATTTTCTATATAAAAATGAATATCAAGATCATGTATAGATAATTATAGTAAACTAACCATTAGGTGAAAAATATTCATTATCAAATATATTAATATGTATAGTATCTTGAACGAGATCATACAATAGAAATTGCATTGGTGCATTCCATTTTGGTTTAATTGTTCGTTTAATAAATGGAGTTTTTAATGTTAATGATCCCACAGTTATTTCACAATATGGATCAACAGAACCTTTCAAAAACAAAAGAAGCAAGTTTCAAAACTATGAATTTTTGCTGTAAAAAATAGAAATACTAACGATGTCGTTCAAGTGTTGTTTGTGATGGCATTAAATCATAAGCTTCTTGTACAACAAGAAGAAGACGTGCAACAGCTATTTTTGAATCACGTTTATTTTCTATAAAAAAACATAGAGTTACAAGATACTGAATATTTATTTTACCAGTAGTTGTAAATATTGCTTTATCGGCTAGAACAGATTTTTCTGCTACTTGACAATCTTCAACAGCATTATTAATTGCTTTTACCCATAAAGTACTAAATGAAGTTAAATATTATAATTCAATCATTCACATTTTTGTTTACATACCGAACATTTGTTTGTTGTGTTTTTAATACTAATGGTTTGTCATAGATTTTTGTTGTAATAGAAAAAGTAAGTTGATCATTAAGTGAATCATTAGCAATAATAATATCAGTTAAAAATAAAGGCTAACAAACAAAGAAAAATTATGAAATAAAATCTCAATTTTATTCAAACCATTCGATAAATTTTCAATAATAAATTTGTTTTTTGTTCAAATAATTGTGTTTGCCAATTACTAGACGAGGATTTTATAGTTGAAAATAACAGAAAATCATTAAATAAAAATGCTAATAGATCTTTTCCACTAGGCATCTAAATATGATTGTACATTTAAATAAAAATATTCCTAGATTTCGTTTTTTTATTTCATTTCCTAACCTTTGTTATCATACCATTTAAAAGCAATTGTCTTGGTATATTATATTTATTTAAAGAATTAAATTTTAATAATTCATCAAATAAATAACCATCTGAAGAATTCTCATCACTACCAAATATTAAATGTTGTTGTAACCAATCTAAACGTGAACTACTTTCTTGTTCACTTATCTGTTTATTTATTTGTTCATTTAAATGACGTGCACAATCATATGCTTGTTTTATTGATTGATAATCTGAATGATCAGTTGGTGTATGTTTAAGAATTTTGTCAATTAATAATGGATAACGTGTAACACGTTGAATTGGTTTTGTTAAAAAACCATTTAAAGATAAACCACCAGTTTGGTCTTGAAAAGTTTGTAAATGTGAACGAAATTGTTCATTTGAATCGGCTTTTGTTTGAAATGATTTATTAGCTTGAGAACGAGAATTACAATATCGAAAATAATCGTTTGTCATTGTTGGTAAATATGAACAAAGAATTTCACCAATTTTTGTCGACTCATTTATTATCATTGATCCATGTGGTTGAAATGTTGGAGTTGGAGGAGAACTATTATCATTCATATATTCAATATTTTGTTTCATTGATAAATTATGACTCGATGGTGAACGATGATGAAATCCACTAAGATGTTTTATTCGAAGAATAGATGGAGAATGTAATATTTCAGGTGTATGGGAACGATGACGATCACTAATCGTACTTCTTACCGGTAACTATAAGTTAGAAACAAAACAGAAAAAGTTAATGTTAAATATTTAGACAATTGTCTGATGATTACACAATATATACAATTCATTTAAAACTATCCTTTCGAAGTACTATTACTTTCTCGAATAACATAACTGTTTTATGATTTATATATATATGTATACAAACCTGTGCAAGTAATTGTATATTTGACAAAGATGCTGATCGTGGTGTTCTCATAATAACTCCATTTTCTGATGAAGAAAGTTCTTCTTTATAATTTACTTGTTCATGAAAAGCATTTAGAAGACTACTATTAAGTGCAATTAAATTATACCAATTAATAAATAATTGTTCGATTTCATAATCACTTAAAATTCGTGCATTATTTAATGGTTTTATAAAATCATTAGCAACAATTAATA